AGAATAGATAAACAAGATTATACTGTATAGCACAGGGAAATATACACAAAACGTTATGGTAGCTCACAGAGAAAAAAATGTGACAATGAGTGTGTATATGTCCATGTATGACTGAAAAATTGTGCTGAACACTGGAATTTGACACAACATTGTAAAATGATTATAAATTAATAAAAAATGTTAAAAAAAGAAAAAAAAACCCACCAACTGACCAAATAAACAAGCAAAAATAGACATTTTCTACCTGTAGCAATAAAACACTCATTTTTTACTATTAAATTAAAACTTATCTTACTAGTTAGAGATACTAAATCCCTTAAACTTTGTATTACAACTTGTCTGACATATACCAGATGTTTTGTTCTTAGAGTCTTAGACAATCTTGGAATTGAGTTACTTATTTTAATGGAAAAATAACTATTTCTCAAGTAGTTACCACAGTTCCTGACATATTGTAGGTATTCAATAAACACTTGAATTGAATTAAACTAAATTTATTGATGAATATAATTTTTGATGAATAAAGTTCTAGTTTTAAAAAATCTAATTTTTAAAATCAGAAAATATATTTAGTTAAAATGAAATGAACAAGAAAACTTTGATTTCAAAAATATCAGCCTTGAAGATAAATATTAAAATTCAGCAGCTCATTCAGAGTTCAGTATTTCTGATTTTTAAAATAAGTGATTAATATAACGTTCACAGAAAGACTCACATGATTTGTAATATTCAAAGGTAGAGAAAGTAAATCTTTTCTAACAACCTGTGAGTTTCGTTTTGTTGTCGAAGGAAAGGTGTGTAGGCATCACATAATTTTGGCATTAACTACCAGGAAGTACAGAGTTAAATTTTGTATTCAGTCATAATGACTTTGGATAGCTTAAAACTTCTGTTATAATTATCCCTTCTTCTGTCTCTGCCCTCTTCATTGCTTGGCTACTCCAGTTACCTTTAGCTAACAAGGGTAAGATACTTCAAAGTTACTTAGCTAAGAAACTTCAAAGGCTTTTGGAATCAGGTAGGAATACAAACAATGAATGGATATACAGAGCCATTGTTAGTAAATGAATAAAGTCACCGTTTTTTATACTATCTTGGAAGAACAGATGAATGGTTATCTTGTGGCTTTAAACATAGTTTATGAGCCCTCTTTGGCTCTCTGTTGTAGGTACCAATATAAATAAAATGCAGGACAAAAACTGGAAGCTGAATGAGATTAAGATATTACATAATAATGAATATAGCAGTTATATTTTAATTACTCTTTGAACAACTATATATATTGAATATCTGCTCTGTGTCACCAAGTCTGCTTGGTGCTAGAGTATAATGATGAACTACATAACAATGTGCACCTGCCATAATGAGTGTTACAATCTGTTGGAGGAGACAGACTCAATTATTTTAAAAATATCTATCTATCTATCTATATTATATCAGTTAGTCATAAATGCTATTAAACAAAGCAGGCAAGTTAAGAGGAAAGAGAATGATGGCAAGTAAAAGGAGCTTTTTTCATTAATGAAATCAGCAAAGGCTTCCCTAGGGAGATGACATTTGACCTGAAGCCTGAATGATGTCAAGAAGGGAGCCATGAAAATATCTGGAGGAAGAACACTGCAGTTTGAGGAAAGAGTCAATGCAAAGACTTTGAGGTGAGAGAATTTCATACACAATACGTTCAGATAAAGAAATTGACCAATAACAGATCAAACTCCCTATCTGTGCAAGATGGCCTAATCATATCAGATGATAAAGAAAAGGCAGAAGTAATTCATCTATATTTGCCTTTTTAACTAATACAGAATGCTTTATAAAAATGACCCAAAAATCAAACAATGAAAGGAGATAAGAAAGTAGTAGAATAATGTTTAGCCACATTAGATTAATTAAAACTCCCAGAATAAGATGATTTATAACTTGCTTGTGCAAAAACCTCTTAAAACCTTGGAGAAGTACCTGACCATGAGAGTGCTGCCAGGTATGGATGTAGACAGACAAATGTCTCAATTTTCAGAAAGAGCAGTGGGAAATTGTGAAAATTATATATCAGTAACTTGGAATGAATCTTTGTTACAAGTCTGTGATTAATTATTTTAACAGATAATATGTTAGGATTTAAGAAGTGACTAAAAGTTGAGGTTAATAAGAAGTAACGTCAAATTCACTTCCTCTTTTGAAAGTTTACTACTAACATGGAATATCAGGGAAATAGCATGGCAATGCATTTAACAGTCTTCCATGATATCTTTTTTGGGGAAGGTAGTGAAATATACCTGGGTAATATTTTTATGTAGATTCATAGTTCACTGCAGTGTCCTAATAAATATTGGGTTCTGTAATCATAGAGACAGCTCTCCAACATAGCATCTTTCGAAAGTCTGTATCTACATCCTATTCAGTGTTTATGAACAGTAACTAAGTTGAAGACACTGAAGTGATGATTATTAAATTTAACACAAAGCTGGGCTGAAAACTGTAAGTTAGCTCACAGAATTAAGAATTAAGATAATTCTGATGACTGGAATTCTGGATTGAAACCAGAATATGAAATTTAATAGAAACATTTCTAAAATCCTGTATTTAAATGGGACAGAGGGAGGTGCATCAGACTTATACTGGGGACACCTGACCTGGAAGTTCACGTGAACAGATGTTTTATTAACATCTTAAAAGGAAGAACTTAGACTTTCATATTCATCTTAAAATTCTATCTTCCCCCAAAGATGAAAACAAAATTACAAGCCAGGGAGAACACCTGAAAAGGTAGTATTCAAATGTTGAAAATAAGGTCTGGCCATTGCTGCAGGCATTGTGCCCACACAAGCAAATGAGTAAAGTTAAGCAATTGCCTAACAACATGTTCAGAAAATAGAGGCTCTTGGAAATTTAAGCAATTTAAGCCATATATGTAGCAGTTAAAAGTATTTTCAGGCCTAAATTTTTCAAATATTTGCCCAAACTTTCCATTTTACTTGCTCTGTGAAATGAATGACTTATCTCATTCCAACACCGAGTCTAATGTTTTTGAGAATAAAATGCTACTTAAGTATGCTAAGCTTTGTACCTTTCAATTAATATAGAGTATAATATGATATGAAAGTAAAAACAAAATACTGTTAAGAATCAATAGAATTCTTCAGATATGACACTGATTTCTTCATAATTAATAAGGTTTCTAAAAATTAACAACTGTAGATAAAAGATATATTTTCACTTTCTTTAATCCCTGGAAGAGAAGCTAAAAAAAAAAAAGTCAGCAGGTTCTCCAAAAAAAAATTTTAATGCCTACCTCAGAGGAAAAACTTCATCTTAATATCCTGTTTATAAGGAAATAGATAATGAAGGAAATATGAGAGAAATTTAGACCATAAAGTTACAAAACTATGAATAAATAAACCCTTATGAGAAAAAAGTTAAGAAAAAAATGAATTTTCAAAAAAAGAGTAAAATGTAAAATTGTGTGGCAAAAGTTATTTTAAGTATGCTCAGCCACAAATGGGTAAAGTGAGTAAAATGATCAACATCATACAGTTTAAATATCAGGATTTATGTGTTTTATGACTAAAGTATTTAAGTATATTTCTGTAGTACTACTGCAAATGATAAAATATTTCCTCAAGCTGTAGTCACTGGAATTTGTGTTTAGGTATTTTAGAAATGAGAAAATGAGTTGAAAGCACGTCATTCTCTTCATGGCAATTGTCAGAAGCTGAGAATTCTAAGTGCTGATGAGTCATAGGACCAGGCCAAGGGTATCCCTGTAGATACCAGTAGGCCCAAATCTCACTGAGGTGCTTTGTAGTTAGTAACCAATAAGTAGATAAACAAGGTCTTGCTATGACCAGTCATCCAAATCATACCATTGTGAAGAGTAGTGAAGCAAAATATAACAGAATTTTTGCTCCTGATCTGTATAAACTTTCATATACATGAAGCTTATGTGTGATG